CAGTGATTGACAGGTCTCTACCAGAGATGTGTACGGCGTCTCTACGTCACTCCTCCTCAGTCCTAATATGGTCACTTCCTGTTTACTGGTTGCAAAAACAACAACATGACAATATGCTGTAATCCAAGATGGCGACAGCAAAATCGCCTAACTTGAGGCTTCAGAACGGCAGTCCACAAACCAACGGGTGACGTCATCATGACTACGTCCACTTGACGACACTTCCGCATTGGTGTCACTCTTCAGAACCAGAGGTTGCCTCTTGTTGCATACAGCCTGTAGTTACAGTAGCTAACGAAGGATTGGACGGAGCAATTTGAGGGAGGGGCTTAGCGATGGGTTTCACCCATTGGCTCTTTATTCAGACGTCGATAACTACTGACTCAGGCAGAATGAATAGTACTTTCATACGTTACAGTAAAGATGACATGATGGTTGTGTTTACCTTGGACTCATTGAGAGCAGGAGGAGCTATTAATACTAAATGTGAAGATGTTTGTGTTGCTCAAAGACTTTGCTGATATGTGTAAAAACAATATATGATAATGTGAATCTGAAGGCATGAAGTGTCCGTAGCCTTGGATCTTTTCTCTCTTCAATATATATTTCTAAATCTACAGTGTACCTCTGTATTACCCTCCAGACTGTGTCTTCTTCTGTCACTCTGCCCTGTTCCCTGAAGCTCTTGTGGCTCTCTCTTGTTCTTTGTGCCACTTTTAACGAGGCGATCCATTCAAAGGAATGCTCTGTGCGTCCTTTTACAGATGAAACTGTAAAACCTGTAAAAATCATTTTTCTGTTCTGCCCCATGGATCCCAATAAATTCTACGATACAAAAACTCATCCTGTGTTTACTGTGTTTGAATATTATGGCTCGCTGGGTTAAGAGGGTTGTCTGGCAACCGGAAGGTCAACGGTTCGATCCTCGACTGGGACGTGTCACGTGTCGAAGTGTACCTGAGCCCCAGGTACACTGTGGCTCACACTGAACCCCAGGCTCCCTGGGCGCCTGTCATTGGCAGCCCACCCATCCCTATATACAGAGATGGGTCAAATGCAGAGACAAATTTTCCCCTTAAAAGGATCAATATAGTATAATTAAAAAAATAGTTGACGACTCAAAGTCTGTACATCTAGTGTTTTATTTTCCTGCTTTTACCTTTGGGATAAACCTATACCCAAATTCCAGTCCAGACCCAATATTTAGAAATGATATGGGTATATGTATGTATATGTATGGATATTGTATATGTATGTAATATATATGTATATATAATTAATAAATAGGTACAAACCATCAGGTCTGCCGTTATAAATGTTAGTAAGTCATTAAAAAGAGGTAAAAACGACCAGGTTTGCAGGTAAAATGTTGTTGATACCATATTTTGATAACGTTTGTTTTTTTCTCATTTAATGTTAATCTTTTATTAGTTCTATTACATATTGAGGACAAACGTTATGAGGTTGACCATCAACCCACATGGATCTTTAAATAATAAAGTATTTAAAATAATATTTGACTGACATCTAGTGGCTGAACTCACGAATTGCAACCAAGCCGCTTGTCTACTGGACTAGATGTGCAATATATATATATATATATATATATATATATATAT